TATCTTAAACGATTCTATAAAAAACATGGCAGCGGTTTCCAAACTGTGGGGCGCACCAGGCTGTTCTAAGGGAAGCACGTACTTCTGTTTCCAGAATACTATTTTCGAAAATAACCCAAAATTTATAAAATGAATTTGGAAAATAAACAAAAAACAATTAGTTTTTTTTGTAACATAATATTGGATATTAATTTGTAGTCTGATAATATCAGTTGAGTATTTATATAATTAAATTGTTGCAAAAATTAAGAGGAGCGCAACAATTTTTTTATTAGAGCAGGGGGGCTCGGTGCAAAAATGGTTGAAAACCACTGCATTATGGCAACTGCTTTTAGAGAGTATTTAGGATATTTATATATTATTATCGATATTAATGAGTGTGCAGAAAAAAATGAAAATTGAGTGTTCAAGAGTATCTTATGAATATTTTAATTAAATATACAATAAAAACTCGTTTATCCGGACCTCGGTTATTCGGATTCTAGATTATCCGGACTACCAACCGTGACCAATTTATACGTATGTACATTACGGTGGTCCTTAATATGAACTTTTCGAGTTTTCTTGCTCCCAGAGTCTCAGATGCTTCCATATTGATAAAAAAAATCCTCTATAAGTTTTAGCCTTTAATATTGTCTTTTACATAGTGCGCAATTCAATCAAAGTTCTGCATGGAAATAGCATGAAAATATTTTCAACAATTTAAAAAAAATTTTAGATATAACTTAGCGAACAAATGAATAAGTTTTGTTGAAAATTCGATGCTCTACAAAACAAATTATGAAAAACCTGTAATGCAAAGCGTCGAATTTCCAATAAAAGTTGACACAAACTGTCACTTTTAATTCATTTGTCGATAAGTTATTCCTAAAAAACATTTTTTTAAATTTCCGAAATTTTTTCCATGTTATTTCCATACGAAGCTTTGATTGAATAGCGCACTATCTAAAAGTTAATATTAAGAGCTAAAACTTTTAGGGAATTGTTTATTATCAATTTGGAAGCATTTAAGTCCCTGGGAGCAAATTTTCGAAAAAATTTACATGCTATTTCCATACGAAGCTTTGATTAAATTGCGCACTATCTAAAAGTTAATATTAAGAGCTAAAACTTTTAGGGATTTTTTTTGTATCAATTTGGAAGCATTTAAGCCCCTGGGAGCAATAAAATTCGAAAATGTCCATATTAAGGACCACCCTAATGTACATACCTACAACTCTCATTTTTGTATGAATAATGTTTCAGTTTAGCATGTTTTTTTATTTTAGTTTAGTTTATTTTTGTATGTAGGTATGTAATGTAATCTAAGAAAATATGCACGAACATATGGAAGTGTTATTTACATAATAACCATTATTTTTGTTGATATATATGTATGTGTTATTTTTAATAAATACACAACATTATTCTTCATACATTCGATTATCCGGATTCTCGATTATCCGAATGCCTATCGACAACCATTGGTCCGATTAATCAAGTTTCTACTGTACTTATTTACTTGCAAGTAATTTGTAAATAATTTATATTGTCTGTTGAGGAGGCTAAATACATACTAATTATTATTTATTGCCATTTAAATATCATAGTGCTGACAAATGAGTTTGTAACTAATCTGAAACTTGAAAAAAAATCATCAATGTCATATGAAGATCAGACAATGGATACGTTTTCCTAGAGACACATGTATTTCAATGATTCTAAAAAATGGGCTTCTTCCGTTATAAAACAGTTTATTACAACATTAACACAATTTTCCTAACCAAAAATAAAAACAAAATCAAAATTGCTTTATATCTATCACTAACTGTTTGAAACACTGCCGTTATTATTTTATTAATAAATATTTGTAGTTAAAAAATCTGTTATAAAAATCTGGGCTTGGCATCAATAAGTAACATTAAAAATAGTTGCTCTATTGTCTTTAATTGTATGTTTATCAATTTGTTTGTATAATTAATGTAGTTATCTGAATTAACACGGTATTTGCTATGGCCTATTGTAGTTTATGGTTGTATCTATCATTTAAGTTTGTACTCTGATATCAAAATTATTTACTATGGCGCGGTATAGGAAAGCTAGAATTGTATTGAAACGTAAGGCATGGCCAGGGATTCCCGGTTGCTGATTATCGATTCTCATATGATAATTAAAATATAAAAAGAAATAAAAAATAAATTATAAAAAATGGGAAAATATGTTGTGTGCGTTATTTATATAATGCGTTTCCATTACTTGCAGGAGTAATATCACAAAAAGAAAAGATTGAAAGTTGCATGGAAGTTCAAATGTGATATCAAAAAGAGACTAAAGTTTAAATGAAAACAAGTATGAAACAATGTATTATATTACGATTCAGAACCGTTATGCCTTGCCGGGATCCCTGAGTTTAAATACTACTATGTTTAATAAAATACCTGTTCGATCGTAAATCGAACATTCTTCGGAAATTAATTAATTAATTAATGCACTGTTATGTATCATCTGTAACAATAGGATTGTGTATAACAACAATGTAAATATGGTAATACGTCACTGTGGTCAATATCAAATATCGGACTATTTCTCATCAACTGTGAAATGACTGATCCCGAAAAATGAGAATAATCAAATTAAAACTAGAATATTTTTCCTTTTTTGTGTTCTTTTGATGCGGCCGAGAGATAAAATTCTCAAGAAATTTGTATTTTTGAACCCGAACATGAACTTGACAAACATCGGGTGATTTCAACGATTTGAACGAAATTGAAAGTTTTTGAAATTGTTTTTTGATCCAACTGCGGAATAATTTTCCGATCAAATATGATTTTTTTATAAACGTCGTTTTCACGTAATGCGCGTACGATATCATTTGATAAGTAAAACTTACGTATTTTGTGTCACTGAATTCTTAAATCGTTATTGATATTATTATTCTATCTACATAAGTTCAACCTTTTCTTCCTTAGGCACGACTCGGGTCCTTTTGGGCAAACATTGAGATTTTATTTAACACTTATAAATATTTACTAAGTTCGTCGTGAACTCTTAGTTTTCGTATATCTCGTTTTATACTACCAATGTTCTCCCAAAAAACCCCATCCTTAGAAACATATATAGTATTAAATTATACTTTTACATGTATTATATCTACTTGTTTAGAGATCACACTGTCTTAATATTTACCGAACTATCGATAAACAATATAAAGGAAAATAGAAATAGAATTAATCAAATCTCATAAAAATCGAGCAACAGTCTTTCTTAATTTAGTTATCACATATTTAGGCCAGATCAGTTAATTTAAAATGTATTACAACTAATATTTTTTATATATCAAATAGCGCCAAAGAGATTTTTTTTCATCGCATTTTTTTCTCCAAAACAAAATATATCATCCAAACTTTTAAATCAAAATACGACGAAACGTTTCGAAAACTACATATCATGATGTTAAAAAATTTCACAAATAAATTACGTCTCAAACTGTAATAAAATACTATCTGAAATTAAAGAAACAAATTAAAAAATATTGTAATAAATATCTATTAATTTATTTTTTACTACTATTTAAAACGTATATTAATTTTCGAAACGTTTCGTTGTATTTTTCATAATTTTTCATCCCAATTCAACTCGACACAGGTTGTCTCGAAATTTATAAAAAATAGAAAATTGATTAGCATAATTGCACAAGAGACAGCTTCTATTTTTTCAAATATATTTCATAGCAATATAGTATGGAGTGCAAATAAATATTATTTTCATATTGTCTTAATTGTGACAACTTTAGGTGTGCAGAATTTCAAAGCTGTTCAGAAATAAATTTTATATATGGACATTTAAGAGCAATAATAATATGGTAAAGCTTCAATTTCACAAACTATATCACAAATAAAAAGATTTATTTCAAATCTTAAGTACGGTCGCTATCCAAACATTTTAAAATTATGGATTAAATATTAAAACCATAAATTAAATATATAAGTATTTTTGAAAATTTATAATAAATCTTTCGCTTATCAAACTCTATATAAAATCCATATATATTTTAATATGCGTGGTATAAATTAACTATTAATTATAAATCAATCATTAATTTAACAATTTTAACTTTTTAATACGTAATCTTATTCCAAATTTAAAATGAAACTGCAATATTTATCATCAAGACATAAGTTATCACAATTGACTTTCACATTAGTACTGAAATTAATTTAACCATCCAAACATCCAAAAAATCTAACAACATTGATGTTTATAAAAGCACCACATATTATATTTTTATTACGTATATATTTCGTAATCATAAATCAAAAAGTCTCTTTCTATCGTTTATTTTTCTTCTATTGCTACGTTATATCTATATTACCATTATATATGGATATTAACAATGTAAGATGCAATCTTGTCTCTCTCGATAGTTTTTTCTTTATAAAAAAAACTTGTTCACACCTCAAAAACCAAATAATTAATGGATAAAAATTAACAAAGATATTTCTTTATTATCTAATATAATAATTATTTTATTTTATTTATAAATGTTATATTACACTTCGGCTGTACCTATATATTGGTAATATATTTCTTTATATGCATATATATACTCAACAGCTCGCAAACTGTTGTCTATAGTTATTGGCTTTAGGTTTTCAAAACCCGCGCAATGTTTATTGTCCATTGCGGACATCGTGATTTTTATCTGTTTATTGACATCTCTGTTCAAAACCCAACATGTAAGTTTAGCATTATCTATATCATTCATTGCGATTATTTTAGTTCCTAAATTTATTATGACAGCCATTTTAAAAATGGATGTCATAATAATTTTGATTTCGTATTAAACGATTAGCAACATTTGCGCTGTAAGGATTTCAATATGTTGCGTGTTAAATAAAAATATCATCTCTGTGACGATTTATCACAGTGAATCCTTAAAACGCACGTGTTTAGTAGGACACATCTCACCTGAGCAGCGGCAGCGGCGCGTACGGTCCCCACACGCGCTGCGGTCATTGAGGTCACTGCGCCGGTTGTCCCGTGCCGGGCGGCGGTTTAAAGATGCCACTCGCAGGCGTCTTGAATTCCGCGCCCGACCCGGTACCTTCGACCGATGCAACACTTGGTGGAGGCGGCGCAAACTGCTGATTGAATGGCGGAGCGTAGCACTGCGGGAAGTAAAGCTCGTGTTTCACAGGCCCCAGTAAAGAATTTTGTTTCCCCAACACTTGATGATCCTGGCCCATGACGCCGGCGATGGAATTGTTACGCCTGCTCTTGGCAGCATGCGGGTTCATGTGGTTGTCTATATGCTTTTTGACTTCTGGTTCCGTCGCAAACCGCCGTCGGCAGTTCGGCATCGGACAACAGAATGGCCTGTCGCCCTGGTGCGTCCTAGTATGTTGATCCAAAATAGCCTTTTGCCTGAAGTCCTTACCGCACTGCGCGCATTTGTACGGCTTTTCGCCCGTATGTATCCGTATATGCTGATTTAATATCGTTCGCTGTCTGAAAAACCGCGGACAATAGACGCAGCCGTACGGTTTTTCATTCGTGTGAATACGTAAATGCTGCGTGAGATGACTCTGCTGGCGAAAGCGTTTTCCGCATTCAGGACACGGGTAAGGACGAGACTCGATATGTATGCATCCGTGTTGTAGGAGTGTTGATTTTTGTTTGAATTCCTTCTGGCAAATTGGACAACGCACGTATAACGGCATGCCAGCTGACCGACCATGTTGGATGACATCAGGCAGACAATTGTTTGGCTTCTGGCCCTGCTGGAAATATATAAAACAATATGATTAAATATTTGTCTAAAAAATTCAAATCAATTAATGAATCTTAAATGCATAATAACATTATTTGCACAAATCATTATTAGGTTGTCAAATATCGCTTTTTTGCTCTTGGTGTATAATACAAAAAGGCGGAAGAGAGATATTTGACAACCTTATATTTTAGAAGGTTTCTAATTCTATATTTCGAAATATATTCGGTCACTCTTGCTTAACATTTTCCAATGTATAACTAATATATTTATTTTTTGAATTAGAGTATCTACATATACAGAATTGAACCAAATGCTCCATTCATTTAGTTTTACCTTTTTAATATTTTTTCTCTGCAACGAATCATTTGTGAACGTTATTATTTCTAAGTCATGATTTCAAACTGACTATAGTATTTATTAAAAAATAAAGAAAACTCACTTGTTTCAAATAATGCAGAGCGCCGAAATTTGCCGCCGCGCCGAAGACCGAGTGATTCATGCCCTTAGAATCTTTGAAGTACGCAGGGTATTGTGCTGCGACACCATTCGGATCCGGACTGTAGCCCATTCTCGCATCTGGTGGCCCTTGAGCGCTGTCCCCGGCATCGCCAAATGTACTAGCAACTTCTTCCTTGCCACCATCTTCTGGAAAAGGTACGTCTTGAGGCCAAAGCGTCGGTGTCATACCATTCTTGAATATCAGGTGAGGTGAAACATCTGCATTGTGGTCGCGCGCATAAGAAAAACAGAAAAAAACGAATGTCGTCTCACATGGCTTATAACACAACTATAAACTAGTATATATATAATGAATATATTAACTAATAAAATCGACCACAAATACATTAAAAGCGCGCATAAAAGAATTTAAATATTGGTTACAATTTTTATACAATATAAACTTTAGTACCTAAAAGTCATAAATGGCCTTTGTATAAATGTGTAAATTGAAATTTAAATTCACAAAAGTGTTCATAAATTCTATAATAAAAATAAAACTAATAATAGTATTAATAAAAGTACTCATTGTAAATATGCGTTGAAGCATAATTATCAAAAACTATTTTTGTTTTATCGTAACATATGTATGTACAGCCGATTTAATAATCCTTAGAGGGATATTTGTAGAAGAATTTATAAAACGCGAGACAATTTGTCTGATTAACCAATTTATGATAGCAACTCTATTTTATAATAATATAATGCAATATTTTACAAATTACTAAAATATGCATGTCAAAAATCAAATGATGCATAGCTGATAGTAATAAATGTAATTTGGAAAAATTATTTTTAGAGTCATGATTATTTTTTTAAAATTTAAGTGGTAATTAATATGATATTAAATTTTGAAAACTTCACTTTCATAAGCTTGAGAATACTTTGTAATTATAATTGTATCAAAGGAGGCAATCAGGAAACTCATCATTATTAGCAGATTTTGTCAAAAGCCAACATTCAAATTTCAAAATATCGAATGCACAAGAGAACTAAATAAAAATTCGCACGCGGCCTGTCAAAAATAGAACCTAAGGCAAGTCAATGCACCGACGATTCTCGTTGTACTATTAATTTAGTAACTATTAATATAATAGGAAATTATAATCAATAGAAACCGAAAAAATATTTCTCTAGCGATGTAAAATTCGGAATCGTGAAGGTGATACCACCAAGGACCACTTTGACGATACCGCGTACGCGCTACAGAGATTGTTTTATGTCGAAAAGAAATAATTAAAATTATGAAGAAAGTAAGAGAGTGTAAAAAGGAAGTGGAATTCAGAGATAAGCTCGCCTTGGTGGGTGCGCACGTGTTGGTTGAGAATGGCCTTCTGCCGGAAGTGTTTCCCGCATTCGCCGCAAGAATAGGGCTTCTCACCCGAATGAATGCGCAGATGCTGGTTGAGGATGGCTCGTTGGCGAAACGTTCTTGGACAGTATACGCAGGCGTATGGCTTCTCGTTGGCGTGTATCCGTAGATGCTGCGTTAGATGGCTCTGCTGGCGAAAGCGTTTGCCGCATTCCGGACAACCATACGGACGTGAATCGGTATGAATGCGCTCGTGCTGCAGCAGCGTTGACTTCTGTTTGAAGTCCTTGCCACAGGTTAAACATTTGAATAGTCGAAGATCACCGTTAGGACCGCCTTTTCCGCTCTTTACGGGCACCAGACCTTGCTGAAGTATGTCTGGCATCGAGTTGTATTGATCTGTCGTTCCGGACTGTTGCTGATCCATAGTTAATCCTGGCAGCATTCCTCCTCCAGGAGGCGGTTGCTTTAAATAGTGTAATGCTCCAAAACCCGCAGCGGATGCAGGAGGCAACATGGAAGGTGGCCCAGGTGTACTGTTGTGTTGCAGAGGACGGTTTTCTTTGAAATATTGCGGAGCATATGCTGACATGTCTGGTTGATGTTGCTGATCTTGAACAGGAGCAAAACATTGCTGTTGAGTGCCATTCACAACTGTTCTCGTGGGATCCATTTCAGGAGAGGGTTGCTGTAAAGCAGGATGATCATCATCGAGCTGTTGCTGTGTAGTGCTATCTTGCTGGCTCTGCGTTGTCTGCGTAGGCGGCTGCGCAGTGGACGGGTACGGGCTAGGCGCGGGGCTGGTCATCGGCTCGGAGCGCGTTGCTGGTAGGTTGTCTTGCTGGTGGGCAGGGCTGTCTGGAGGCTGCTGTTGTTGGTTCTGCTGCTGCTGGTGCTGCTGCTGCTGCTGGTGATGATGCGCCTGATAACCATCCAGAGGACCCCACTGCTGCTGCGCGCGTTCCATGTCGTCCTTGTAGAGCACGTACGGCGCGCCAGTGTCTGCAAGCGATACAGGCCTGTTGTATAGTGCGCTGTCCACATCACCGCTAGAAGTTAGCAGTGGATGAGGGTGATGGTACCCACCCTGGGATATGCAGTACATGATCTGGCGCGGCACCTTCAACCCGGCAGCCAAACACGCAGCGAACGACGCGGAGAAGTTGATCGCCATCGTGAAGCACGCTCGGTAGATTCAACTGACCCGAAAATAAACTGGTCTAAACGACCGAAACTGTCAGGAAACCCAGAGCAGGCGTCGTGTGCCCGCTCATCTGCATACGCTTCGCCATGAGTTGAATCTGCAATAGATATGGAATAAAAATTAGTCGGAGTTATTACAATTATGAACTAAACGTAACTACTGATTGAAAAAATATGCATGCGTAATAAAATTTTGGATAATATATTCCGATGAATATATATATATATATATATATATATATATATATATATATATATATTAGGTTGTCAAATATATCCCTTCCGCTTTTTTGCTTGAAATTCAAAAGACGAAAAGGCGGAAGGGAGATATTTGACAACCTAATATATATAAGGTTGTCAAATATCTCCCTTCCGCCTCTTTGTCTTTTGAATATCAAGCAAAAAAGCGGTCCAAATAATCAAATGCGTGAGTCAAAAATATTGAATACCCGTTCATCAATATGTTAACTATAAAAAAATATTGAAACTATACTATCCTCAGTTCGAATAATATATATTAAAATCGAGTATGTTAAATATAAATTTTAATTATAAAATTACAAATTGAATATAGCGTATAAAGTTTTAAAGCATTGTATCATATATTTATCCTTCTATAGCAGATGTAATGGATGAAACCTGTTAAAAATTAAACCTGGGAGTCGCTAACAAAGCGATGAATATGCCAAGCGAATAATGCGAACATTGTTTCAGAGTCGATGTATTTTCAATGCAGCTCTGTAAAGTTCATTACTCGTCCTCGCCAAAACGCCATTGACAATGGAGGCGCTAACTGCGTGCGTGTACAGAACATGCATCACATTAAACTGCAAACGACAACACAATGATACACGAAAGATAATGTCAATGATAATAATTAAAGTCTACTCGAATGGAGCGCAAATATGAGAGAATGGCCATTGCTCATGTTACTCGGTCTGATCACATTAGCGGCACTCGCCTAAAACCTGGAAGATAAATCATGTTATTTTTCACGACTTTGGCACTAATCGTTTATGCAAACAAAATTCTCATGGGGTATAGTTCTGATGTGTTAGCTGTTCCAGTGAATGTGCCCAACCTAACAAATTAGGAGCTTATTATTAATTGCATCTCGCATATATTATCAATAATATTCATGGCGTTGTCTTAAAAACGTTGATTTAGCTTTATATTTTTTTATTTGGATTCATTTAGTATATTAATATATCAATAATAGAGCATAAAATATTTTTGAAACTGATTTGAATTCATTTAATTTTGGGGTATAGCAGAGGTGTAAAAAATACAAAATAGCAAATAAAAAAACAAAAAGTTAAAAAAGCAATTTTATAAGAGATAAATTAAATAAATTATTATTCCAACTCTGCTGATGAATATTTCTGACAAAATACCAGATCCAGGTAATTTACTGTGTTTCTCTGTAAAAAATGTTCGCTTGTTTATATTTTGCATTAGTTGAATAATGGTAGCTATTATTTTGTAAATTTCTTTAAAATAAAAAAATCACCTGTTTGGCCCCTGGCCGTCTCAATTTACCCCTCCTGTGTCAATAAAAACACATTTCTACAATTATGAATTAGCTGGCATTTTTAATGAACATTATCAGACAGTTGTCTGTATAGTATGTGTTATTAGTTATAATATAATCGGTTTGGTTTTCACAAAATAATTGCGCAAAATCAAATTGGACCTTTGTTCGCCGCCCTACCTTATTTCAATAGAAGTATAAAAACGGCATTTGAAATAAATCTACTACCCGCATATTAAATTATCCCGTAAGCATATATCTACATATATATGAAAATAAGTCGGGTTTTCCTTTCTGACGATTTAACTCCAGAACGCACGAACCGATTTCGACAATTTTGCATTCGTTGGAAAGGTCTCGGGCTCCGCAAGGTTTATAGCTAAGAAAATTAGTGGTTTATAGCATCGTGCCATTTAGAAAATCATTGTTTTTCACATGGGCAGTTACACGTTGCCTGCTCCCGAGTTGGAAAACCATCGGCTTTGTTTGTGTTAACGTCAAACCAAAAAACAAAAAATGTGGTTTACCAAAGAGCACTTCAATGAAACGGATAATTTGCGGATTCACTTTCATTTACTTAGAGAAGTTCAACTAAAAAATACTTCATTTTTGTAATCGAAATAAATTCATTACTGTTGTATAATAAAATCATTTTTTTCCTATTCAAATATAAAACAAACAAAAAATTTCTTCATCTTTCTCACTAAACCATCTGGTGGCGAAACGGAGTTCGTCGGGTTTGCTAATTATCTATATTTAAGTGTAACTAAAAATTTGTTATATCAGACACAACAATAAAACTCCCGTAAAAATTCAGATCATTCTGTTATGTGCGTTTACGAAAAGCATATTGCATTCGAGAAGGCATCTCGCAATCTTCTTTGAATAGTGGTCTCAAAACTCGCAAACAACAGCTTGATATCAAATATCAACGGTCACGGTCCACAATTTCGCGACTTCAAGTTCGTCGGGCGTACCGACATTCGCCGGACGGAATAAAAGTCCGGCTCGCGGTCATGCTTTGGTGGCTATAAATTGCATTATGGGCGAGTCCTTTTGTGTGTAATTTGTAAGTCCGTTCGGTACCAGGTCGCGGCAGGACGGGCCAAACCGGGGCGGGTTGGGACAGGCCGCATTATGCACGAGAGGCAACGGACACAAATCAAGCGGAAAGTATGGTTTAAGATTAAAGAAAAATGGTAATAATAAAATGGAAATTTATATATTTTTGGAGAATAATCAACTTGAATTTAGTATACATTAGAATTTTATTAGATTAGAGATAAACAAAGTAAGATCATCGAGCATCGTCTTTCTAACTAGGGTCTTATCACATAATAATTCATATATCTAATGTCAGTTTACTTCAATTATATTAGGTTGTCAAATATCTCCCTTCCGCCTTTTTGTATTATAAACCAAGAGCAAAAAAGCGGAAGGGAGATATTTGACAACCTAATATATAATTAAGAATATATTATAACACGGTTTTAAGATTATTTTTACGTTATCTATATAATATTTTTTTATTAATCGTAATCAACATCGGATAACATCCACAATCCACAGAATGACGTTTGGATTGGATGGATCAATATATATATATATATATATATATATACTAGATGACCCGACAGACGTTGTCCTGTACCCATGTCTACAATTCAAAAGTGCCAATTTTTTTAATATCCTGTATAAGCAGTATAAGAAAATCAGAACAAAATAATATAGTAATAAATAATCTATCAATATCACACTAGATTTTACCACACAACATAATTGCTTCAATAATTTAGTCTATAATTTTTATAACCTCGTACGATATATTAGTTACTTTTTGGCAATTATAATTTCTAAAATACATTTTTCTTACTAATAATTTAATAAACATTATTGTTTATTTTCAAATCTTAGTTGAATTAATTAGTAAAATCTAGCACTCTTCCATATAAGATTAACTTGCTAAATATTCGATATTCAATACCAAACAAATGAATTTCTGGCACATGAAACAAAAGTCTATATCATTTTTTTAGTAAGTAGAAATATTTTTTGTATTGCTAAATAATTTAGTAAAGTAAACCAAAATACGACATACACTTGTTTAAAAAAATAATGTATAGGCAATTTTGGACTTATTGCGTTATTTATTAAGCTGAATTATATAATTTCATCTGCCAAACATATCCTGTTGACTGTATCTTATATTATTTTAATTTTTGGCACATCCCAGCTGCTTTTTGGCAATAATAATGTAGACATTACATTTTTCTTGTATATTATATTCTAATATTATCTAGGCTCATAATTTCAGCTAAATTTAAAATTCAAGTGAATTGACATTTCTAGCAAATGACAGTTCAAGTGTTTTCAATGCCAAACAATGATAAGTGGTTTTTTGTAATTTTTGCCATTTATTTCTACAATATTACTATAGTTTTATCGTTCATTAAATCTCAAAAAATTGCTTTGGCAAACTCTAAAAAGAATTATCAAAATCCGAATAACCGTTTAGGAGTACATAATAAAATTATATATAAAATATTCATAAAATTCGACTTTTTTTTTAATTTAAAATTTTCTAGTTTTGACACTAAAATTAATAATATACGAAGCAAAGCAATTACGATTTGCTGTTTACAAAATAATAACAACAATAAGGACGGATATTAAATTTAAGATAATTGGTGTAAATAAATAAGATAATTAGTTCAAATCTGTCAATATGTACCTACTATGTTTACTCGTTTCCTAATAATTTGTGTTTTAGTTTAACTTACAGGTATAGGCAATGTTTTTCCATTAGATAACCCAACCAAAGAAAATTTAAAGTTTAAAATCAAAGATAATTATTAAAAAATGCCAGTACATTACGCCAGGTCCGTGTTTCTTCACCATACGAAATTTTAGTTTAGTAACCATGGCTCGCCAGCTCGTTGTCTAAAACAATAGACAGACGGACAGTCAGACAGACAGACAGATAGACAGACAGAGTGGATCGTTGTGCGCTTCAGATAAATAATTTGCGGCTACGCAAATAACGTCGGACGCGCTTTCCCGCGGGTTGGCGGCGGGGACGAGGCGTGCGCCGGATGGGGCGTTCGAATGCGATCGAAAGCTGCATTTTTTTCACAGGCACAAACACATGCAACGAGATCATGGTATTAGCAAAAACTCGCAAAGTAAAAACTATACATATGGAACATAGCCCAGGAATGGGGCCATGGGAAACCAAATGTATTTTATTTGAAAAACTTACCGTTTCAATAACTTACTCTTACTTAGCAAAAATAAAACGCAGAACCAAAAAATGATAATGATAAAACTAGTGGGGTGGGTGGCATCCTGCCTTAAGGCAAATTGCTGGAACTTCCTGTACCGTAACGAAATGTTCGAGGAATACTGAACATTTCCAAATAGATTATTATAAATATTGTAAC